CCGCTGGCCAACGAGGTCTCCCCAGAGACCGTCCTGCGGCTCTACTCGCAGTCGTCCGACGGCGCCATGCGGGTGGCCCGGGCCTTTGAGAGGGGCATCCCCGTGTTCGGGACGCTGGTGGCTGGCGGCATCAGCTTCGGCACCGTCTACACCATGCTCCAGGGCTGCCTCAACGAGATGGCCGAGGACGCCCAGCGGGTGCGCATCAAGGCCCTGGAGGAGGAGGAGGAGGAGGAGTCCCAGCCCGAGGTCAGCTTGGACGCGGCTGGCGACAATGGCGTGGAGAAGTGCGGGGTTGGGGAGGGAGGAGGTGAGGAAGCCCCGCTGTCCACCCGCCGGAAGCTGGGCCTCCTCCTCAAGTACATTCTGGACAGCTGGAAGAAGCGTGACTTGGAAGAGAAGTGAAAGTGCAGCCCCCGACCCCCTGCCTCGCCCACAAACCAAACCTTAACAAAGCCAAACAACCAAATGAAAAGGCCAATGTGGTGACTGGGAGCTGCGCTGCTGACGGGGTGTGGGGCCGGCTCGGAGGGAGGCACAGGGCCAGCCATCTTGGTGGGGCAGGGGAGAGGGGTGGGGCAGGGTAAGACGGAAGCAGGGGGGCCCCCGAGTGGAAGAGGGACTCACTCAACTGGGACGGGAATTGATCCTGGGGGGAGAGAAGTTCAAGGTATGGGTGGTGGGCCAAGGGCTCCTAGATGGTCTCTCTCCCGGGTCCCTAAGTGGCCAAGGGGGATTGGTGAGGTGACAGGGCAGCCCAGCCTGGATGTAAGACAAAGCCAACTGTCGACCTACGTGGGTGGCTGAGTGGGGATCAGTGCCTACTAAGGTACTTATTTTAGTTGCAATGTCATATCCCTTTCTGAGAACCCCAGTGTCCTAAAGGCCTCCTCCGGAGTGGGGAGGGGCAGCCAATCCGAGCCCAGGATTGGCACAATGGTGCCTAGCAACCGGGTTAAGCAGAGGTGGGCAGATGGACAGCCTGGGCCTGTGAGTGATGGTGGGCCGGGTGGCCAGCAGAGGGGCGCCACATGGCCCCTGGGCTGGCCTTGGTGCAGAGGTGGTGAGAGCGGGGCAGGCGGTTCCTCTGAGCATCAAAGGATAGAGAAGGGTTGTTTCAGAAAGATGGCGTGTGTCTGAGTGTGACTGTGTTGATAAGCGTGCTGGTGTGCTGACTGGGAGGAATCCTGACGAGTCTCCATGATATGGATGCCATGTGTCTAAGGTA